TTCATCATCTGCTGATCTTAAGATGTTTGACTTCTTATTTTGCTGTCTCTGTCTCTTTCATTCTTTCTTTTTTTACATCGTTAACACGCGAAAATAAAAAGTTCTCATTAAATTTTTCTTCTTTTTTTTTTTTTTAAGAGGAGGATAGGTTGCTAAATTATGTTTATGTCCAGCTGCTGTTAAACATGCGAAACTTGATTTGATTTATATTTGTTGTTTTTTTTTAGTTATTTGATCTTTTCAAATTATATCATATGGATCAATATCGTTATAATTAAAATAGATTTAAGTTATACCATGAACAGATTAAGTTGATTAAGCAGTATTCTGTGTTTATTTCTTCCCGATTTGGCCTGGGTTTGATTTCCCAAGATGTAACAACCTTTTGTATCTGCCTATTTTTTATTTATGCAACAGCAATGTTATACAGCAGTTTTTATCGTAAATATTGGCAAACCACAGTTTTGTCTTCTCCACACTCAGAGAAAAAGTGGTACACTATTAAACCGCGTCGTGCTCAAATCCTTATGAATCAACTTGTAAACAAAGATAAAACTATCTATGTATACATTTTATTGCCACTTATAAAAAAATGAAATTAGAATCTCCCTCGAAAATCTAGATTCTGCTCCTTAAACCGTAATGCGGTGCTAATTTGCTGCAAAATGTTAAAATGAATCGGGGTTCCGTTCTAGTTAAACCATGATTCCGTTCAAGTTAAACCATGATTCCGTTCAAGTTAAATCATGTTTGTGTTTGTGTGTAATTCAGTTTAAGAAGTACAATAATATGGTTCCACTTACCACAATATTAAGGTTCTGACGAAATTGAACGATATTAATATTCAACCGGCTCCAACGGAGCACTAATATTATGAAGTAGCCAATTTAGCTACAATTCTTTGTTGTAAACAACAATAAAGTTGCGAATAAAGTTTTATATCTGTATAGTAACATGCCATATACAAAATGTTGTTCAGTAGTTAGTTCAGTTGACTTGTTAGTTCAGTAGTTTCCAACCAGCCAAATGTTATGGGAATAGTTAAAATATATATTTTATATCTAATGTTCATTTTCCACTCGTTAAAGTATGACTTAAATTGATTTCTAGGAAAGATATTTATAGGCTTAGACTAGGCACAACTAAAGTTATTTCTGTCTTTGACTGAAATATGGATAACTGAATAATGCCACTGAAAGGGTATATTACTGAAAAATAATTATTTCATTTCTCTCATTATTAAAGTTTAACCTTTTTGACGCAGAATTTTTATTAAACATATTTTTCATTATTTTTTATTGAGGTGAAAAGAAGTAACGAAATATTGTGTTTAGCTTATTAATAATTAATGGTTATGAAATACAACTTGAGATACCTATGTCTTTTTCTGCGTTAAGAGTAAAATCTTCCAAACACGGCTCTCTTCCAAACAATGATTTTTCAAATTCGAGCTTACTTGCAGTTTAGATCTAAGAGAAACTGTTATTCATCCTTGAAATTTCTTTGATTTACAAAACCCAATTATTAATAAATTGTTGAATCCATCTACTTTTTTTTATTTTATATTTTTGTACAAATATAATTTTGATTAAGCTAACAGATTTTAGTAATTATTAGACTGTTTTTTTTTTTTTTATAATGAGAAAATGCCTAAAAATATATATTTGCTTGTGCTTAATTAAAGCGTCAGAAGAAAAAAAATATATATAGATATAAAAGGGACACTGGCGTCCCATCTGCGTCAAAGGGTTAACAAATTTTAATAATCAAAAATGTTGCAAGTTGCCAATTGTTAAACGAGCCATGAAAAATTACTTACTATCATTTATTTGAACTGCTTTTACAACTTTTGGTAAATTGCCAGCTGTAGCTAAGAACATAGAGAACAAATAGCACTTAGAAACTTCAGAACAAATTTGTACATTTAGGATGCTGCGAAATTAAAGAACTGCGGATTCCAAAAATTAATTAAATTCTCTATTCATCGACTGAACACAGTTCAAAATCTTCTCCCAACAGTTTTATGTCATTCCTGAGCCGAAACTGAACAATGACAGATAATCACTAATTTTTTTTTTCTTCCGTCTACTTCCCCCGCCTTTTCTAGATCAATAACTCGTCCATGTATTATATATATTAGCTCGTAAGATTTAAATAAATATTTCAGAGTTATTCAAATATTTTTTATTTTTTTAAAATTTATTTCCAATTTTCCATATTGATAAAAACCGACGCTTCCAATCTGTTTAATGAATGAGAAATTGGAATATTTTCAATTTGCTTTTATTTTTCTTTCTTTTTTATCCATTTCCTTATTCTTCTAAATTTCGATTGTTGAATCATAAATGAAAGAAAAATAAGTTCTGTTGATGAGAAAAAAAGAAAGTTAATAATGAGATATTAAAAAGATCTTCGCTTATTTAAATCGCAACATAAGCTTACTTTTTTGTGTTGCCATTTCCTCCATTTATTAGTATCATTATCATTTTTTTTCTCGTCAGTATTCAAATTTCAATTCGGAGTAAGAATAGAGAATCGTTTCCATTTTTTTGCTCATAATTTTTGATTGAATTAAATTAAAATTGAAATTTGTTGGAATAGATTTAGTTTTTAAATTGTAATGCGATTCTTTTTCATTTTTCAAGAGTATATTTCGGATGTTAATTCTTTATTTAATTAAATTTAAATTATTTATTGTCTTTCCAAAAAAGAATACTTCCTTTTTTTTATTTGATTAATAGACGTTAAAAACAGCTCAGATTAAATATTTTTGCTTTAAATACCAACAAAATCAAAAGTGACGATTTCTTTTTTGCTTTCTAGCTTTTATGTTAATTAATTTTTTTTTTTTATGGACATGCTATCAAAAAAATTGCTTCGAAGTAATCTAATTCATGTTCAAGTTTTTGTAAAAATAATGCTACTATATTCTTTTGTGAATTTAATTTGCATATTTTAAAGAGTATATGAGGCGTTTGATTTTGAAAGGAGATCGAGTTTTACTTTTTATTTATTGCAACTCTTTTATCAGAAGCAGTTTTTATTTATTTATTTATTTTTTTAATGTTTGTTATTTTTGAAAAATACAGCATTAAATAAGATGGATACGAAACTTTAAAAATCGGTATATTTGAAATAAAATCGATTTTTATTTTTTATTCATTGCATCGCTTTTATCAATATCAGTTTTTTTTTCTTCTTCTTTTTTTCTTTAATATTTGTCATTTTTGAAAAATGCAGCATCCACAAAATAAAATGGATACGAAACTTTAAAAAAATCAGTGTATATTAATTTGATGCTATAAAACTGGCTCAATTTTTTAAAGGAGGAAAAAAACAATTAAAGAAATTGAATGACAATAAAGTTTTCTAGCAACAACATCATTAAAAATTTTGTTTAAAATTATATTAAAGGAAAAAACACTTGCTGGAATTTCCTTGTGCATAAGAACCATATTTCAATTCTGTTCTAACTTTTTTATAAATCGAAATGGGCGCAGATAAACCCCTCACGAAAAGATTCGAACTAAAAGTTTTTGTATCCAATAATTGATCTCAGACAAAATGTAACACTTTTTTCCCGATCTGAAACTGATTACTTTTCTGGGGACTTTGAAAAATTGAAAAATATTGATTTTTTCTATAAATAGGACAAATTTGAAAAAGGGGCGGAGATTTTTAAATGAAAAATGACAGATACAATTCTTATTAAAATTATCACTGTTATAATAATATTTCTATTACAACTGTCCTGTCCTAGTATTTGACAGAAATGTTTTTTAGTTTCACCATATAAATTAAATACGGCTAATATAGCAAGTTTAAATAAATCTTCATCACTTTAATGTTTGTACAAAGTGCAACGTTTTTAATATATATTTCTTAACCCATTTTTAAAACGTCGCACGCAATAGTTTCTTCGTGTAAATGAAGCATATATTGAGATTTAGATCATTTGCAAAATATTTTCCCCTTAGTTTAACTGTTTAGCTAAGACAAATTTTTTAAAAAAAAAGTGTAATAACTTTAAAAATATTTAAGCTATTCCTCCTATCTTAAGCCCAGGTAATTCTTAAGGGCAAGATGACGTAATTCTATAGTTTAAAATTATAGATTTGATTTTTTTTTTAAATAAATATTTAAGCTTTGTTCGTGTTAAAGTACAGACAACTCTTTTTAGCTAGATAGTATATGTAGTTCAAATTTAAAGCTATGCTCCAAAATTAAAATACTGAAATTTTTTTTTCCTATTTTTAAATTTTTTAATTCCCTTGGCTTAATAGTTTCGTCGTTGATATTTTACAAAAATTTGAAAGAAAAAAGGGGGAAATTTTTTTTTTTTTTCCTTTTAAGTTTTGGAGAATAATTGTGTATTATGCCACCTCTTTATCAAATAAGTAATAAACGGGTATTGTAATTTAGTATTGTAATTATCAGTAGCCAAATTCAGGTTGGATTTTTTTTTAATGTTATTTATTAAACTTTGTTTAAATAAATGAGATTGGGAGGGTGTCCTAATTGGTTATTAAAAACTAGCTGAAATGCGCATAATAACATTCAGTCATTTTCATATTTGATTACAAAACTGAACTTCATCTTTGAAATAAACAAATGTATCCCTTTAAGTCGCGAATCTCAAAACGACTTTAATTTCGTGCCTCATCAGATAAACGGATATTTTCCGCCTAAGTTAGTCGATAACTAACGACATTACGCATTAGTAGTTGTGCTGAGGGTTTATTTTCTCCCTTTCATCAACTATTCATGACCTTACAATTCTGAAACTAACCCTCATCTCGTGTGTTTGCTCTCTCTCGATAAAGTTTGATTTACTGTCCCCGCTCCCGATTCATCAACGGGCCCTGCCCGTTTAATTAAGGGACGACTGAATCTGTTTTTGTTAAATCGGAAAAGCGTTTTCCACTGCACTGAATATTAATGTCTGCCTGTGTCATTTGTGAGGAAAATGAGATTTTAAATAGTTTATCTTCTCTTTGCAGCCATTCATGTCGCCGAGGTATCCAGGAGGGCCGAGGCCAGGTGTACGAATGCCCCAGCAGGTTGAATTTAATGTAAGTATTTGTTTTTAACCATTCATTACTAAATTAAAACTTGTTTATGTGCTGAATATTTTTGTCATAGCTTATAGCAGGAATTGCCAAATACTGGTTTGAGTATAGATTTGGGATACTAGAATATATTTAGATGTTTGTTCCCTAATTAGATTCGTTTTTGAGCCTGTTTTCTTAATATGAATTTCTAAGAAGATGTCCAAAATTATTTTACAGATTTACTGTTCTTGTTCTTTTTTTTATGCATGTAGTTACGAACTAGATTCCCTAATTAGATTCGCTTTTGAGCCTCTTCTCTAATATAGAATTTCTAAGATTTCCTAAAATATTATACTAATTTCCTGTTCTTGTTCTTTTTTTTTTAATGAGTGTAGTTAAGAACTAGATTCCCTAATTAGATTCGTTTTTGAGCCTGTTTTCTTTTAATGAATTTCTAAGATTTCCTAAAATGTTTTACAAATTTCCTGTTTTTTTTTTTTTTTTTTTTTTTTTTTTTTTTTTTTTTTTTTTTTTTTTTAATGCGAACTAGTAAGTTATGGCTAGTAGGTTATAATCTAAAGATTTATAACATTTCAGAAATAAAATTTACTTTATGATTGACTTAAAGTATTTAGACTTAACAAAATAAATTTTTAAAATATAATTACGATATTAAAGAGAAACTTTATTCAATTTCAAAATAAAATTTGCTGAATTCTTAAAAAAATCATTCAGTTCTACGAAATTATTTTTTTTAAAACTAATTTTAATTCTGGAACAAAAAGTGTCAATTTTTCAAGTAACTTACATTTTATTACCCTCATTGTGTGAATTAGTTGGGATTTGATTTTATGAAAAGTAGAGGGAGGTATATTGATTAACTATATTGAATGTCAAGATGAAATTTACTGGATTCATATAAATCCTTGAGTTCTACAAAATTAATTTATAAATAATAAATAAATAAAGCATTTTGTCTCTCTACATAATGCAAGTTTTTTAATTTAAATTCTTTTTAATATATTTGCTTTCATTTAATAATTTACTAAAAATAAAGGTTGTGTAATGTTTTCAGAAAGTCTAGGTATTAAATACAATGATTAGACTTAAAAATTTTTTAAATTTTAATATATATTTGCCCCCCTCGGATTATTATTGTATTGTTATTTTTTATTGTGATAATTCGAAAATGTTATGTTAAATTGTAGTTATAATAAAAGATTAGTTTCTTTAGTACAATAAAAATGAATGTTTTATTTTCCAATTGAAACACTGTTATAATAAAAACCTTCTTAAGTTATTCATTTTCTATAATTACTAAAGCATTTTGTTCTTTTAATTATTTAGTTTTTCTAATTGCAAAACGTATTAGTTTTTAAAATAACTTAATGATTTTTAGTGATGAAGTTCATTTTGAAACATCTTTCATTAAAAACGGGGAGTTGTTATCGATCCCTTCTTAAAAATGCTAATTAAAGGAAATGAGAACGTTAAGTTGAATGTTAATGATAAAAATCCAATTTTTTTTTTACAATAAATCAAATTATTTCATCCTTTTCCAACCACTAATGAAGCGATGTAAATTATTACGGTATTTTTTTTTTCTTCTTCTGTTCTCTCTTTCCTTATTCTTAAAACATAATAAAACTAATTACGGTGAATTTTCTTTTATATCAATGCCTAAATCTGTTTGTTCTTAGCAATGTTAAAATTATACTGAATTTTTCATTAATTACTTTTTTTAAAGGGGAAGTAATTAATGAAAATGCAAGGTCATAATAAAGTATAACTACAAATTACTTTTTTAAATTATTAAACTGCAAACAATTGCAAACTAAATTAGGACTTAAAAAATTAACATTTTGTTCTTATTTATATGATTACTTTAATTGTATCTTTATTTTTTATAAATACTATATATATTTCTTTTAAATTTTGAATTGATATAATGCTAAAGTTTTACGTCTTGTGTAGAAATGTATGAAGTTTGACTTAATTTTCAAAATAAAATTTTTTGTTTCTACTCTCTTAACAAAATTGATGCAATATTGATATAACAAAAAATTATCGGTACTTATTACCTTAATACGAAGCAAAATTGCAGCAACTCTTAACGTTTTCATCGTGGCAAAGGCTCGCCTCTGTCCCTCATTTTGTGCTAAGAGTTCCTCCGCAACGAGCACTAAAATTGAGGGGGGGAGACGCAAATTGTTTTGAATCTTGTTTATTTTTGTTTAGAAAATAATAATCAATTGCATTATTTCGTCCGTTGCAATGGAAGAGTTAATGCTGTGTCGAGTACTTCTGTTCAAATTGAATCCTTGTGATCGTGTAATCAAGTTTAAAAAGTACGATAATAAGGTTCAACTTAGTACCTTGTTAAGGTTTCAGGAAAATTGAGCGATATTGTGGTTCAACGTATTCTAAAATTTTGACAGTTGAAATGCTTCAAATAAAATTATCCCAAAAATGCTTGAGTTATTTTTTAAAAATATTGTTTTATGTATTAATATTAGATGCCGCGAAATCAACTGGAAAATATATTAAAAAAAATCCTAGTTGAAAGCTTTTTTATTCAATTTTGTATCTGAATTTCGCGGAAAACTACTTATAAAACGGTTTTATAAACAAAGAAAAAAAATCTAAAAATAATTTAAAAGAAAGTATTAGTTGCAAATTGTTTATTAAATGTTTCCAAATTTAAAAGAAAAGGATTTTAATAAGTAATTTAGTTAAGTCGAAAAAATATCCGAATTTCAAAGAAGAAAGTAAATTATGTTAAAAAAAATTAAAATTCCTATAGCGTTCCTAAAAAAAAGCTCTTGAGTACTAATTCGTTTTGTATCTAAACTACATTTAATGCATGTAATCTAGCACTAATGAAATGAAAAAAGCATTTCGGAAAATAAATTTAAAATGTGTGGAAACAAGGGACTTGTGAAGAAAAAAATATATTCTTAGTTTAAACCACTTTATTTTAAATTTTGTCTAAATAAATGTTCTACACATAACATGTTCTTAAACAAAAAAAAAAATCGATTGTTTTTAAAATGTTTATTAACATATCCTTCCATTTAGATTTCCAATTTTATTCCTTAGTATATTTCGCGTGTCATATCTCAGTATTACCAGTTATTAAAAAAAAGGCAAAGAGCAACTCCAAAACATCCCCATTTCTGAAACATCAGCGGCGTCATTAAGGGAGAATAAACATAATTTTCTCCATTTTGTAAATTAAATTATTCTCGTCCCGTAATGAAACACAGGGGAGCAATCACTTTTAAGATCCATGTTTCATTTATTATTCTTACATCTATACTTGTATATTACTATAATGATCCCCTAATACAAGACCGAAGAAGAAGAAAAAAAATCTTCACTTCATTTTCCTCGCCAAATTTATTTTTGCTGTGATACTCAAACATAACAAATCCTTCTTCAATTTTCCCTGTCGCTTGTCTGCAACATTTCTTCTGTTAAGACCATTCATTCTCAACATGCAAGTAATATAAAGCTGCATTACTGTAATTACAGGCTCAGAATTTGATCCCTATTCCTTTGTTTCCTTTAATTAAATGTCTGTAGCTCTAGGGTTTGTCGGTAAAGTGGGAACCATGTCCTAGCTACTCTAGTCCCTCTACCTCGCTTCAGGGTTTGGATGTTTGGGGTTTTTGTTTGGTGTCAAAACGTTTGGATGCAGTTCTTTTTTCTTTTCTTCTTCCGTTGCGTTTTAAGTAAGTAATTTGCTGTTGCTGCATTTTATGTCTTTTAATCAATAATAAATTGGCTTTCATACTCGGGATTTTAAAATTATTTTTCTTAAAATGATGTGATATATGAGTGAGATTGGTTTTTATCTTGTAGATTAACATTTTTAGAGTGTTTTAATCTTGATTAGTTTTTGGAGAAAATTTAATCTCTTGTGAAAGTACATTCTGAGCGTAGATAGTTAATTAAAATCAAATAATTTTTGTTACTTTAGCTTATCCTCTTTTTAGTTCGCAATATTACGTTTATTTATTTTATTCATTTATTTATTTTTTGTTAAAAGAAATATGACTTTATAAGAAAAAAAAACTATATTTTTAGTAATAACAATCGACTTTTAGACTAAGAATTTTTGAGATTTTTGATGTATGTCAACGCGTTTTGATGTAGTTTTTCCTTTCTTTCGGGAAAGAATTTTTTTGCGTTTTAATAAGGTAATTTTCAATAAATTCTTTTGCTTATTTTTTTAGTATTATCGATAATGACTTGGCATAATCGATAATGCTTTTAATTGATCAACTTTCATGTCTATGATGTTGATTTTTTTTCTCCAACGATACGTTAGTTCGTGCTAAATTATTATTTTAATACTAACACGTCTTGATAAATGTTAGTAAAGAAAAGTTGTATCATTTTTGTTTCATGTCATTAAAATTTTAAAATTCCCTGTGAAATGATAGTGTTTTTGCTAGATGGTTAAATTGATAGTGAATTGCAAAATTGTTGACTTTGAGCTTTTTTGAATACAGCGTTATTAAAAACAGCGTTATTAAAAAAAATTACTTTTAAGTAATAACAATCGAATCTAATTTAGTGAATTTCAATAATATATACGAAAAGTGTTGTTCTTCTTTTTATACACTCTCAGAATCGGTATAACATTGAACCATGATAACGGTACCCCAAGCCATGATATCGAGCAAATTTTCTGCAACCATAATAAGGTGTTATTGAACCGTGAAGATGAACCATATTATCGTGTAATAAAGTATGAGAAGCAAATTATGGTTCATATTGAAGTTTCAGCAAATTTAAACCATATTATGGTTCAACACATTCCTTAATTCCTTAGACTGTATTAATTATAATTAAAGTTCTTTTTTCATTTATTGCTGGAGAAATATGTCATCATAGCTATTACATTTGCATTGTAGATTATAGAAATGTTCTATTTTTATAGTACTGCAAAATTTTTAACGATATTGAAAAAAAAGATTATTCTGTTAAACTTGTTATAAATCACAAAGGGAAAA